AAGTTCGTACCTCTGATACTTTCAAAGTATTTTCTCGAGATGACAGAGTCTCGTGCTGATAACATGTTATAAAATAAAGACTATTTAGCTGCTTGTAAGCTGTCTGCATGAGTTGCTTGCAACCTGCCTGTTTAATAAGAAGCTGCTACAAATCATTTCATTGAGCTGCTTGCAACCTGCCTGCATCAGCTGCTTGTAGATAAACTTCAACAGAGTACTAAATGGATAATCTTCTTCAGGAAGATTATCTATAGCGGAGTAATAAATGAACATCCACAATATAATTATTTTCATAACAATATGTATCTATTTTGTAACTCAAATAAATATTTTTAGGATATATACGTAATAAAAAACTTTATAATTTTCAGATATAAATGCAACTAGTAAATAAAAATGGGCAGCGCAAAGAGATCAGTGGTTCTATTTTCATAATTCACTATAAATATGTGTATATATTTATTGACAAAGCTGGAGAAATTTTATTCTGAAAAATCTTTTGAGCAGTTAAATTTGTGCATCTCAAATGGACGCTGAAGCCTCTCTTCAACACCCAAATCCTAGCTTGCCACAAGAACTCATCACTGAAATCCTTGTAAGACTTCCTGTAAAGTCCCTCTTACCGTTCAAGTGTGTTTCGAAAGACTGGCTTTCTTTAATATCTAGTCATGAATTTGTTAATACCCATCTTAGTTTTAATGCTAAGGATTGCGCCCGCCATAGGTTGATGTTGCAATTTGTGACTAATCTTAAACATTGTTCTGTTAGCCTTTTATTTTCTAAGTTTTCTACTGAGGCATTTGACTTGGATATTCTTATGAAAACTCCCGATGATTGTTTTGATATTGTGGGTTCTGTCAATGGGTTGATTTGTCTTTCCATTGGGGTTAATTGCTTGGTTCTGTGGAATCCATCAACTAGAAAATTTAGCATGTGCCTGATATTATGAATATGCCTGCATTGGATTTTGAGTGTCGGTCCATGTATGGTTTTGGATATGATGAGGTTAATGATGATTATAAGGTAGTGGCTGTTTTCTCTAAAATGACTAGTGCATGTGTCAGTATATATAGTTTAAAGAATGATTCTTGGAGAAGACTTGATGATATAAAGGGACGGTGGCGTACAATCGTTGGCCTAAGTTGGTGAGTAGGAAGCTTCACTGGGTCAATGTGGGTGAAGGTAGGACCATCATGTCTATTGATTTGGTTGATGAGAAATTTGGAAAGGTGGAGCAGCCCCGCTATGAAGAAGGGCGGAAAATTTTGAAGCTTGGAGTGTTGGGAAATGATTTTTCTGTTCTCTGTAATTATGACCTAATTCGAGCTGATGTGTGGGTTATGAAGGAGTATAGGGTTAAAGAGTCTTGGATAAAACTGTATACCTTCAAATACCCTAATGACCTAGAGAGCCAGGTGCTTTTTCCACCCATTTGCATGTCAAGTAAAGGTGAAATATTGCATGTGTTTGAATACTCTTTAGTGATATACAATCCAGAGAATGACTTAATCACATATCCAAAGGTTTACTAATGTTGATGACAGTCTTGAGACGGAAGCGGAACTCTACATTGAAAGCCTGGTTTCTCCTATTTTACAAAATAAATCAACAGCACAAACATTGCAGGGTGCAAAAACCCAGGTGAATGAATGTTGTGTAGGTAACAACTTGTAAGATTTTTATATTTTTTGTGTGTTGTTCAATTCTGCTTCTTTTGTCAAATATTGAACAATATATTCCATATTTAAAGGCCATCTTTACAAAACATCTGCTTAAGTATCTTGGTAATCCTTTTTGTTGTTGCATTTTTCCGAGGAACAACAACTTTTGCAAGAACATTTTTGGTTGTAGTGTTTGGTGCTTCTGCATTCTAAGTAAATGACATGGGACATTCTCTCTTTTAAGGATATATGTTGTTCCACTAGACAAAGTAAGACTAAGGCGAACTTGATTGCTAATAATAATTAGCTTATATAGTCCTTGGCAGGGTCGTTGTTTGATCTAGGGCTTTCTTTAATGTTCGTTTTTAGTGACACTTAATGAAGAGGCGGAGGAATCTCTGAAATAGTTAAGTTCTGAAATATCATCAAGTTAGGGTGTCTTTTGTTGCTGTTAATAGCTTACAATTGTTTCTTTATGCCTATCTAATCATTTTTATTAATTATTTGGTCAATCAAAAGGCTGAATCTTCTTCTCTTTGGTGATACTATTGATTAAAACCATGAAAGTAAAAGCATCCTGCAAAAGGGAAATTAGTCTCTTAGGCAATGTTACATCTCACTCTGGTAGAAATATGCAAGCTCGCTATATGCAAACAATAAACTGGGTTCAGGTATCCCTTCTATAGCCAAAATGAGAACCTCCAAGCAATGCAGTACCTCAAACTTTTCTAACTGACCATTAGTTCATCTCCAAGTTTGATTTCTTCTCCTTATTAGACATCTCATCAGATTGTAATTACGTCAGCAACAACTGGGAACTTCATTATTAGCTCTTTGACAAGAGTGATCACAATCAGCAGAATATTAACATGGAAAGCAGTAGTAGCGTCAACCACTGCTCACCAAAATGGCTGCTCAAAGCTTTTCTATTTGGAGTACAAAGCGCATCGTGTATATTGTTGAATAGTGTAAACGTCTCATTTAAAAACCTTAAATATCTGAGAGGGTTCATTTTTTTATATTTATTTTAGGTCTTAGACACATACTCTTACGTGTTAGTTTCTATAACTTAAGGCATTATGCTTCGTTCTAGGGCAATTCTGATTCCTGTTATAAGTGCAAGAAGTTCAGTGTATATATTTATAGCATGTGGAATGTGCTGACTAAATCATGCAATCCAGTTCCCCCTTGTGTCTCTGATCACTCCCCCTATGCCCTATTTTCCTGGATTCCCCATTTTGATTTGTACAAATCAAGCTCCCCCCGGTTCTTTCTAGTTATTCTATCTCTTATCATAGGGAAGCGCAAGTATTTACCAAGGTTTTGAGTAAATTTCATAGTCATACATTTGGAGATCTGTCCCTTAATTGACATTTTGGTATTGTTTGAGAGGACAATTCTGGACTAGTCAAAGTTTGTACTTTGTCCCGATAGAGAGCAAAGTTTAGTAAGTTGTTACGATTTTCTTTGGTTGCTTCAGCAAGTAAGATCAGGTCATCAGCAACAGGAACCGGACTTAGAAACTTATGTCGGTTTCCATTTCCTTTGGTTAACTTGTTACATTTCCATTTCTCTTCTGTTATTTTCTTGGATGTACTGATGTACTAAAAGTAGTACATTATTTATTCAGTACAACCCTAAATCAAAGGTATAATGATGTTACTAAATAGTAGTATATTATTTGCTAAATATGCACGATATTACCAAATTCTGAGGCATACTGATGCACTCAATGTAAACCTAATTTGAGAGATCTGAAAATTTGAAAGAAGAAAATGAACGAGAGGAAACTTGATTGTTGGACATCAATTATCATTACATCAGGTGAAAATACTCTTTAACATAACCAAAGAAAAAATCATTACATCAGGTGAAATACTCTTTAACATAACCAAAGAAAAAGAAAACTTACATTTCCAAAGCTTACATCAATTTGAATGATCTCTTTCTTATACTCTGTCTTTAGTGGCTGAGCTGCAGGAGTGAAGTGCACCAAACAGACGAAATTGATTGCTAGATTGTACTGTAAGTCTGTAATTAATGTTAGCCCTTCAAAGATAATGACTGCGCAGCATAACATGTTCCTGGACTAACTTTAAATATCATATTAAAACACGTTATGTACAACAAGAAGTCAATCCATGGAGAGGAAAGGATTTGGCAACTTTATTTGTTTGGTTAAAAAAAATGAGGACGATGAAATAATACAAAATAGCTGCATTTGTTTTTGAGCTTTGGACTAAAAAGAGTAAAAGCCAGGTTAAATAAATTAGCCTACGCACTCAATTGTGTGTGAGCAACACAGCAGTTGCCGTGTAAGTGTTTCATGTTTAATAGCACACTTTAGTGGTAGTTCAAGTGTCTAATAGGTCACAACCTCAATTGAGATATCGAAATGAAAAATCTTGACAACTTTAGGGGTTGTTTATGGAATTGGCCTTGTTAAAACAAAAGGCAACAAAATCTTAGTAGTAATATATTAAGAGGACTTAAATTGTGTGCATATTAAAGGTAAGGGGTGTATCTGGAGTCAATTAATAAATTTTGCTCCCTCCAAAAAAAGTAATAAATGAAAACTGATTCTGAATCCTGAAAAAAAAAAATTAACAATGGAGCAATGTTGGCATCCAAAATATTTAACACCATTTTGCACATTGTTTTAGAATTTTGGTACTATGGGCACAATCAAAACAGTAACACAATTTACTCAAATAAGAAAGTCATATCTTGTTGTTTAAAGTATTTTATGGGTGTAGTTTAATTTAGAACAATTAGTATTATGTAGTAGTTGTTGTATCCTAATAAATATTGTAGTTAAGTAACTAAAGAGGAGGTATAATTGACTTATTTTCGATAGTTAGAGATGTTTGTATCCTTTATTGTACTCCCTTTAGAGCTGCAGGAGTGAAAACGAAGTGCACCAATATAATGTGTATTCTTGAATTTGGTACTATCCTTTCTTTCTTCATCTCCATTGTTCTTGTCAAGTAAACTCTCAGATACCCAGCATTTCCATTTTCTTTTTGCGGCAACACTTTTTTTGTGCAATCCAAATGGAAGCTGAACGGAGCAAACCCACAAGCCATGCTCAAATTCCATCACTGATATCCTTGTATAAGGCTTCAAGAAAAGTTCAATGTTGACAAACCCTAGCTTGCCCCAAGAACTCATTGCTGATATTCTTGTAAGGCTTCCTGTGAAATATCTATTGAAGTTTAATTGTGTTTCAAAAGACTGGTTTAGTTTAATATCTACTCCTGAGTTTGAATTGCACCGGCCATAGATTGATGCTGAAATTAGATAAATTTGATTCACTAAAGTTCAAATGTCTTGACTCTTGAGCAGAATCTTAAACATTGTTCTGTTAGCTCTTTATTTTACAGGTCTGTTACTAAGACATTTGACTTGGATTATCCCATGAAAAACATCCGTAATATTGTGGGTTCTGTCAATAATTTAATTTGTCTTTGCATTGGGAATGATGACTTGGTTCTGTGGAATCCATCAACTAGACAGTTCAAACAACTGCGTATGAAAAGATGTTAAGTTACATGTACATCTTTGGTTTTGGATATGATAAGGTTCATAATGATTACAAGGTAGTGCATATTTCCTCTAGATTCACTCATGGCTATGTGGATATATGTAGTTTAAAGAGTGATTCTTGGAGAACACTTGATAACTTTCAAGGAGGGTTGTTATTCGATCCTTCAGCTAAGTTGGTGAATGAGAAATTTCACTGGGCAACTATGGATGGTGATGGTTGGGGCATTATGTCTATTGATTTGGCTGATGACAAGTATTGGAAGATGGAGCAACCCCTCTACGGAGAAGGAGAGTTTCATTTGAAGCTTGGAGTGTTGGGAAGTGATTTATCTGTGCTCTATAATTATGAGCTAACTCAGAGCTGATGTGTGGGTTCTGAAGGAGTATGGGGTTAAAGAATCTCAGACGAAATTGTATACCATCAACTATCTTAATGACCCTAAGTACTGCGTGCTTTCTCCACCCATTTGCATGTCAAAGAAATCTGAAATTTTGCATGTGTTTGAATCAACTTTAACGATATACAATCCAGAGGATGACTCAATCAGACATCCAGTGGTTACTTACATTGATAGGCTTGAGGCGAAACTTTACATTGAAAGCCTGGTTTGTCCAATTCTACAAAATGAACCAACGACACAACATTGAAAGGCTGAACAACTCAGGTAACTGACTGTTGTGTAGCTAACAACTTGTAAGTGTCCGTACATTTTTGCTTCTTTTGTCAAATATGGAAAAATGCATTGCATATTCAAAGGACCATCTTTACACCACATCTGCTTAGAGATTTTTGTTGTCCTTTTATTTTTGCATATTTTTGAGGAACAACTTTTTACAAGAACATTTCCCATTGTAGTGTTTGGTGGCTTCTGCATTCTGTAAAAGACATTGGACATTCTTTCAGTTTTTCAGCAGTGTTTGAAGGTTACATGTCATGAATTTGTGGCTTCAGATCCTATGCTTCTTGTATTACTGCAGGTGAATTTTGGAGTTTTATAGGGGTTGGGTCCAGAAATGTGCGTATGGTCTTGGCACGCGTTCATCTTATTTCTACAAGCATGTTGGTGTATCCTCTTCAACGTGCTGATTTGCTTATCCAAAATATTCTGAAATTTTTTCACTTCATATTTTTCCCCTGTACAGATAGGAAGATCAACTTCTCTGTATTTTTCAATCTATACACTCCTGAGTTGTTTTTTCATATACTTTGACATACTTTGCTTCCTTTTATTCAACTGTTATGAAACCTTGATCACCTCTAGATGTAGGAAGCAATGATATCCTTTCATCCTGTCAATAAAATCTTCTTCTATGGGTCAGGATATCCTTGCATGAACTTTCACATCCTCAGATTTATTTTCTTTGTAATGTAATAAAAGGCACACGACTCGTGAGCAAACTAGAGAATTTACATGAAGATTTCTCTTGGTTATGTCTCCGTAAAAATTGAACTGGTTGATGTGTGCTCATTTGCATACTAACCTTTAGGGGTGTAAAAAAACTGGTGCTTAGCTCTTACATTGCCTTATCAATAAGAATGACGACTTATACTTTCATATTGTGAATGATTGCAGGTTGATGTGTTGTATCATGCACCTGTGCAGGGAAGCAAACTAACAAGCTGATGCTTTGGCAAACAACTCCACTACTACTACTACCACCACTATAACTACTTCTACTTGTATTAGATGCGGTTGATCTATCTACTGCTACTACCATTGTTATGAATAAATGTCCGTACTTGCTGTAGTAGTGACCAGGAGGGGCTAGTATATTATAATACCCCTCAAATTTTGTTGTTGATCAGGTCACTAAGTAAGCATTGATACTTAATGATATGTAGCTGATCCTAATGATTGGTTACCTGTTACGGTGGTGGAGCCAAGAATTTGAGTAAACAGAGCAAAAAAAAAAATATTTTTGCCCTTCACTTGAATGTTTACTAGTGTCAAAGGTTCAATTGGTTATTTTTAAAATATATATATATTTGCCTAGTATAATTTTCTGGCCATGGGGATTCAATTGAAACTCCTTGCCAAAAATCCAGTATTTGAAGTCCGTGGGTGGGGAATAACAAGGTGTCTATCGCCTCTTTTTGACAATAGATTTGGACTTAGTATAAATACTATATACTAGTATCTGTTAAAACGAATTTCAATTCACCTAGAGTCGAAGACAGTGGGTGCATCTGCCCACACTGCGGTCCTGGTAAATCAAGCTCATTGTATTGTCAAAAGCTCTTTGTTTTGGACACAAATGGACATTTCCCCTCCTACAAACTTTTCCTGCTATTGGAAAAAGTTGTTTCCTTGTTTTCCAAACAAGATGGGAACTGAAAAAGATCAAATAGCATACAAGAATATGGGCTGTCAATGGTAGATATTTCTCAATCAATCATGGTAAAATGTTACTCAACTTTTCTTCTATTCACAAAAAAACTACAAACACATGTACAACATTCATTATTTGTTTTTTCCTGTATGCTAAAAATCATACATTGTAAACCATTCCTACCTCTAAAGTAGAAGCATGGGGTACATTTAATGTGTATGTAGGTGGTCTACTGTTCCTTCTCAAAAAGTCAAATCCAAAATTTATAACTATTTTCTTAAATAAGCTAGATCCTTGTTTGGCTCTTACATAGGAATGTCCCAATATGTAAGCTATGCCTGCTTCCCTTGCTTCCATTAGTTCGCGCAACTCCTCTTGTGCACCTCTATCAATCTTGGGAGATTCCGGTATGACAAACCTCACCCTTTTCTTAGGCTTGGTTACGCGTGGAGAAAGTATTTCTTTACGCTCTGATGGTCCAACTAATTCAGCATTTACATCCTCATCGTCGCAAAGTTGAACTCCTGATAAATGAGTTGAAGGGGTTCCAACAACGGTGAGGTCCTCGAAATCCTTTCTAAGATCTTCACCGTTAACATTCAACCCTGTCCTTCCTGTTCGTATAAACTCAGCTATGCTACATACAAGATCATTCTCGAATTCTGAATCATCCTTGTGAGCATCGCGATAACCATACCTGACAATGCACCTGTACATGCGGTACTCTCTTGGGCCAATGTGTCCAACCAAGAAACGCTCCTCATGTTTAACATGAGGAACTGGGACAGATTTGACACAAAGGAAAACTAAGACCTGGTGGAATGCCGGAAGATTGGTAACAAAGTGTGAAAAAATTGCTGGGATTCCGGATACAAGCTCAGTGTGTATGAGGCCAATGCCACGAACCCGTACAATGCCTAGACTGGGACCAAGACCGAGTAGCCACTCAACAGAGACCTTATTTTGGACATCAAATTCGTACTTCTTTAAAGAGCCGTAGTGCCAAATGCACATTACTATCATGAAAGTAAAAGCCATTGCAATAGGCACCCATGCTCCTTCCAAAAATTTAATCAGAGAAGCAGAGAAATATAAGGCCTCAATCGTCCCAAAGAATATAACAAAGCAAAGTGCAAGGAGGACACTCTTGCGCCAGCACAAAACAATCACCAATGACATCAAGCAAGTAGTAACCAACATGACAGTTATGACTGCCAAACCTGATACAAAGCAAAATTAGGGATGAGGATTAGTAGTGAAATATTATTCAGCATGGAAACAGTCTTTTCAACTATGAGATCCTCATATCCACAGTGCAAATAAGTGCGAAATAAATTTCAAAAGAATACAAATATTTATGCAGGGGAAAGAGAAAATACAGAGAAAGCACGGGAAATTGAACATGAAAATGTCCCTCCTCATGCATGGAAAATTGTAACTGGGAATATAAAATTGAGCAGTCAATCTAGATTGATTCTCTGGAACTCGAATAAAGGCATTTTAAGTTTAACACCAAATCCAGGAAGGATAAATGATCTCGACTAATCAAAACTTTACTTTCCCTTATTCATATCATTACATTCATACCTGAAGCATTGCCCATCCTTTTGGTGTCTCTAAAGCCAATAGTAACAACCAAGCATAGTAGCATTAAGGTCCAATTAATCTCTGGAATATATATCTGTCCATGTATTTTGGATGACGTATTCACTATTTTGACTCGAGGAAAGCAACCCAGCGAGGAGCATTGTTTAATAATTGAAAAGGTTCCAGTGATGATGGCTTGGCTCCCCACCACGGCAGCAAGTATAGCAATCACCAGAACCGGCAACCTTAGTTTCTCTGAAACAACAATTTGAGATGTCCTTCATCAGCACAATTTCCTTCTAGCTTTATTCTTTTCCCCGTAAAAGCAACTAGGAAAATACATACCTGGTACAGAAACATAGAAGCCTATTCGATAGCTTTCATTTTCAATAACATGATGCTGTGAAAGATAAGCAGCCTGTCCCATATATGCAAGAATCAATGATGGATAAACCATGAAGGTAAAAGCAATCTGCAAAAGGGAAATTAGTTTCTTAAACAATGTTATATCTCACAAGCCGCGCTATATGCAAACAATAAGCTGTGTTCAGCTTTCTCTTTTTCTATAGCTAAAAGGAGAACCTCCAAGAGCTGTAGTACCTCAAAACAATTCTAACCAACCTTCAGTTCATCTCTATCCCTCTCCTGATTAGACATTCTCATCACTTTGTAATCACATCCAAATTGAATCTGAAAGTTGGCTAAATTCTTCACTCATAGAAAGCAAAACAAAGGGGCCGGTCTTCGCTGTGCAGGGGTAACTCGATTCGGATGCCACGAAAATTTAGAAAGGGTGATACTGATAATAGAATGTCAACATGCAAAGCAGTAATAAATCCCATGGAAATTGAATGGGCAAACTTAGAATCAACCCCCTGGTCACAAACGCTGCTCAAAGCTTTTCTGTTGGGGGTACTAAGGCCATTGCCTATATTTTATTTGAATTGTTTAACGGACTAATCCTAAAGCTTAAACCATTGGAAAGGTTCTGTTTTTATTATTTATTTTAGGTCTCCAACACATCCCTTATGTGCGGGCCTGATTCTTTTCTAAGGCTAGGCACATGAAAATATTTCCTGAGGGGTCGTGTTGAGAGTTGAACTTGAAACTACAACCATCTCATCTAAAAGCTTAAGCTATTAGAGATGGCCTGCTTTATTATTTATTCTAGGTATAAAATAACTTTAGCCACCTATGATTAACATTTACTCAAACTTCTACTTATTTCAGCCCACCTAAGAGACTAAATTCAAACAGAGGAAAAAAGGGGACCATTGTCACACTTATGGCTTCTCATTTTTTATTATACTGTATCAAATATGCACCTTGTTATTTAGCAATTTTAGATATCTACCTGTATTGACAACTGGGAGAAGTGTCCTAGATCAGCAAACATTGCTTCAGAACCTGAAAGAATATATTTGTGTATTTTGTGATCATGGTACCAAAGGAAGATAAGCAGCAGATTAATCATAAAGCAACTGACAACTATATCTTGCCTGTTATGCACAGGAGGATCCCTCCCAAGGACATCCAGCCTCCTCTTTGAGTTTTTTTCAGGAATTTGTACATGTAATATGGAGACAGTGCTCGATACACATGACGGTCCCATTGTACTATATTATATACACCAATAGCACTGATACACACAAGCCATGTTATGACAACAGGTGCAAACAAAAATCCAACCCTGTGGGTGCCATAATGCTGAAGGGCAAACAAGGCTATCAGTATGACACAAGTAAGTGGAACTTCTACATCTGCAAATGACATATTTTACAAGGATAGCATGTCATTTTGAGCATAGGAATTAAATACTATTTTGAATGATTTAGATGATGTTAAATAAAATAAAATAATCAAATAAAAGGAAAGAAAACAACAGAGTAAGTAAGCTTAATTTCCTTAATCAAAAGCAGAATCTCAAGCTTTGCATCTATCACTCAAATGGTAGGAAGAGAATTCTAGATGCTTCTTCATGATTAAGTAGGCTGTAAACCTATTGGAATAGACATTTTAAGCTATGAGGATCTTGAAAGTAATGCGAGAATGAATGATTTGGCCTAAGACTACTCATGACCTGGTTAGATAACCAGCAATTATCATAGAAGTGATTGACAAGTAGGGTAGATATTTGTTCCTCATTTATATTTATTATTGTGGGGAAGTTGGATGTCTCTGACTGCATTTATGTATTCTAGAAAATGAGACTGCTGCCTGGTCAAGCAAAGAAATCTAATCTGCCATCAAACCTAAAACTTTTTTTTTTACACACTTTAACCATCTGGTATCCATAACCATTGGCCTGACTAATCCAGACTCGCGCCGCATAGAGCCCACTTAAGGAGATGCTTGCCCTATGAAGAACTTCTCCAGTCCCAGGTTTCGAACCCGAGACCTCGGGTAAGGGTGGATGGATGTGTTTCTTACCTGAAGAAGAAGGGTTTAAATGTTAGGTGGTCTTAATGACTTCCTATCCACCATCAAGAAACTCCATGTGGCCACGAAATTAATGGGACAATAGACACTCACATGCTCAAGTGGTTTGGTGGAAAGGTTACCATAAATTAGTGGCAATACTATTGTAGTTCTGCAATAATATTGGATAGTGGCGATAATATTGTGCATTTGCAATTATATTGGATCACTGCCAGGGGATATTAAGTTCCTTATATTTCTCAGGGTCTGAGGATATTTCTGGCCATATTCTGCCAACATCTATTGATTGCTCCTAACTTATGAAAAGAATCTACTGATTGCTCCTAAATACACTCGCCCGACCTTACCACTTGACTAGTAAGGGAAAAGCCCTTTACTAAACTAAGTTCTCTTTTGGAATCACAGAATAATCTGGATAGACTTGTGTTTGGAGAATATACAGGACGCTGAAAGGAATAAACTAAAATCAAATATTGATTGGCTGATCATTTTGCATTTACATCTATGC